GCACAAATTATTTCCCCGTGTAATTACTTTGATTCTCCTTATTAAGGTAATTTCAAAGAAAAATTCCTTCGCCGTAAATTACCGAGAGTTTTAGATTATTGAATCGTTAGAAATTTTTATTTGTTTAATTAAACTGATCACGGGATGAGAATTTTACATTCTTATTTAAATCAGAACGTGGAACGTTAAATTTATTCGGAGAGAGAGAGAGAGAGAGAGAGAGAGAGAGAGAGAGAGAGAGAGAGAGAGAGAGAGAGAGAGAGAGAGAGAGAGAGAGAGAGAGAGATGGAGACAGAATTAAAAAGAGACAGATAGAGAGATAGACAAAGATAAAAAAAAAAGACAAAATTAGAGCTAGATACACAAACATGAATCAATGTCTATGAAAGAGAATGCTTGTCTATGTGAGGCTGGAGGCCGCAGCCTAGTCTCATTTATACTTTTGCAGGATTACTGTTAATTTTATCGGGATGTGTGGATGTGAAAAACAGTCTGCGGATGTAAAATGTTCTGCTCCGATTCCATAGATTTCAGCATTAGTTTGGAGAACGCTGCTAAAAGCATTGAATGTGGTCTTGTTCTCTCAATAACTAAATCCAGAGTTCTTCATCCCCAAGAGAAAACTCATGTCCCTATAGCTTTCAAGGTCAACAACCAGAACATTGAAACGTGTAGGCAGCACAAATACCTTGGAGTTGGTATTAACAGTGACATTGTAAATGATCTACACCGTAGGTTAAAAGAAAGACTAAAACCATTGAGAACTCTTACTGGTAAGAATATTGGTATCAATATTAAATATGCTAGACTATTCTATATGATGTTTGTTAGATCTCTCGTTGATTATAATGCTTTGCACTTAATTAATTTCCCCTCCTCTGTGTTGGACAAACTTGAAGTAGTACAGAATGAAGCTATGAGGATAATTCTTGGTGCCCCAAGATGCACAAGAATCATCAACATGAGGGAAGAACTAAAGCTTCCAACCATACTAGAGAGAATCATGCAAGTCAACACTGCCTTTTGTCTTAAAGTCATGAGAGATCCTACATCTCCTGCATTGCTCAGAGACAAATTATTTAGTGCTGTTAACATCCTATTGACTGGTGCCGACATACCAACTCACTCCTTTTATGATAAATGGCTGAGCAACAATGCTTACAATCTCATTAATCTCAACATTCCTTTTAAGTGCAATCTACCTGTCTCTGATATTCCTCATTATCTGTACCCCACCATTCAAGTATCATACACACCTGTCACCAAGAAAGTTAATGAGAATCTTGCTCTTCTCAAAGCTGTCACACTTGAAACAATTGCCTCCTCCATCGAGAGTTTATGATCTCACGAGCACTGTGTCTACAGCGACGGCTCAGTCCAATCTTCTACTGGACGGACTGCAGCAGCATGTAAGTTTTATAGAAATAATATTTGCACAAAGACTGTCAGTGTCAGGTTAAACAACTGGCTGACCTCCACACAAGCAGAACTAGCAGCATTGCAACTAGCTACCAGTACATTAAAAAACATTGGAGGAGGAATAATATTTTGTGATTCAAAGTCTTCTCTTCAAGCAATCGAAAACTTATCCTGGAAGATCGACAGCAAGAACCTCATATTTCCAATTATAAATGACCCAATTGCTGCACAGAGTAAAAGGTCTAGAATCTCCTTTGTATGGATCTTTCACACATAAATATAACTCATCATAATGAGACAGACATTGCAGCCAAATTAGCGTGTAACAAAGATGAAGTTGAATTAGATCTAGGTATCCCCATCTCTGCTGTCAAAACTGTATTGGTCCAAACATTCAGGTCAGATAGGAAAGAAATTTCTGACTCCCAACGACCTGAAAGTACTAGTATAAAAAGCATTGATTTATTCAGATCTGAAACCAATATCTATGGGCAGCACAAAATGTCGACCAGACTGTGCGACACAGTGGTTGCCAGGATCAGGTTGGGTCACCGTTACCTGTGGCAGGTGGCTGCAGGTGACGGATCTCCCAATCCTGAGCACTCCAGGTGCAAACTCTGTGAGCAGGAACTGCGGCATGATCTCCCACACTACATCACCGAATGCCTAGTTATTAGACCTTTCAGACCAGTTGGCATGAGGTACCTGGAGCTTTGCAATTACTTTATTCACTCGTGTTCTTGAAGATATCCTTATAATGTACCCAAAATTTGTCAGTGCAGGATACTGAACATATGGCCCTGTATGACTAACCATCCTGCGAGATGGGGACTTTTAGTATCAGCGCTACCTTATTCACTCTTGTGTTCATGATATCCTCATAATGCACACAGAGTCTGCCAGTGCAGACTACTGATCACATGCCTCTGTATGACTAACCATCCTGTGTGATGGGGATTTTTTAGCATCACGTAGCTAGCTTTTAGACAAACTGTTCTCCCTTCATATAGTCTAGGGCAGCTGCACAAATGCAGATGTACCTAATGTATTAATACAAAAAAGTAGTGTGTGGAAAGGCGACCCCGGCGCCAGCATAAGAACATTAATTAGTTTCCAGTCCATCACTTTCAGGATTATTTGTGCACCTTTACCCCAATAGTCAAGGGTTTCAGGGTCATTCAAAACTAAGCCGTAGCATTATGCCAGTCGTCTGAATTCGATGTCTTTCTCCATCTCCCCGAAGAAGAAAAAAGAGAATAATCTCTTTCATTTGCCCTATAAAAGGTAGGTACTGGCCAGAGATGGTGGGGAGTGTAGTCCCACACCCCCAGCTCGCCCTTCTGTGGAAGCACACTCAGACGTCTAGACACTTGTGAGTGTGGCTGCGAGTGTATAGGTGTGGTTCTCTTTGTGCCGAGCAGTGGGTTAGGGCGATAATCTTCTTGATGACTTCGAGTCCTGCAGTTCTCCCGTGTGACTTACGATGGATTAGACCAAAGAGACCGTACTGGTCTGCCGATGCTCTCCCGTGGGTACAGCAGGGCGAAAGTCTACATCAGGATAGGAAGAGCGTCTTGGGTAAGGAGGGTGTTCAGGGTGGTGTTGGGTTACGGCGAAAAAGACTAATACCCACGCACGAGGGGCTTTTACCGCTAGGAGACGGCCTTTGTTCTCCTCGGATGCATTATCGAGCATTGTTGAGGCCATCTCTTCCATTATGGGACTATCCCAGCGAGCCCGTCCTTGATCTTTTGGGGGCTGGGGGTCGGAGTGAAGGTGTTAAATAGGATCCCACTGTCTGGCTCCCCTGAGAGTACCAGCAGTCTCTCGCGACCTCTGGTAGGATCTTCTCTACTAATTTGCTGGCAGCAGTACACGAGAGCAAAGAGAGAGAGAGAGAGAGAGAGAGAGAGAGAGAGAGAGAGAGAGAGAGAGAGAGAGAGAGAGAGAGAGAGAGAGAGCAGTATCACACGCTGTGGTACAAACACAGGTGGTTGTAGGGGCAGGAACAGGTGTCAACAACTTTACTTCTATACATGTTTCCCCAGCACCTCGCCCCTCCCTACCCCCCCCCCCCCCTGCCAGTGTAGCCGTGTATATCATCAGTACGCAATACTGTTATACAACGCATCATGCACGGTACTGTAACCGCCCCCCCCCCCACTCTCCCCTTCCTTGAACATTCATGATTAACAACTCGTCATACACCGCAGTTGTTATACATTCCCTGTAACCAACCCACTACGTTCACCTCAGTTATACATTCCCACCGTGCACCTCAATCATTCACCTTCGTAATTTAATTACACACTAGTTTCTCTATCAGCTATCTCACCCTGTCAGAGAAGGAGAGTCAAATGTATGCGTGTGAGTGTATATATGTATATTATATATATATATATATATATATGTCGTACCTAATAGCCAGAACGCACTTCTCAGCCTACTATTCAAGGCCCGATTTGCCTAATAAGCCAAGTTTTCATGAATTAATGTTTTTTCGTCTACCTAACCTACCTAACCTAACCTAACCTAGCTTTTTTGGCTACCTAACCTAACCTTACCTATAAATATAGGTTAGGTTAGGTTAGGTAGGGTTGGTTAGGTTCGGTATATATATATATATATATATATATATATATATATATATATATATATATATATATATATATATATATATATATATATATATATATATATATATATATATATATATATATGTACCTAGTAGCCAGAACGCACTTCTCAGCCTACTATGCAAGGCCCGATTTGCCTAATAAGCCAAGTTTTCATGAATTAATTGTTTTTCGACTACCTAACCTACCTAACCTAACCTAACCTAACTTTTTCGGCTACCTAACCTAACCTAACCTATAAAGATAGGTTAGGTTAGGTAGGCTTGGTTAGGTTCGGTCATATATCTACGTTAATTTTAACTCCAATTAAAAAAAATTGATCTCATACATAATGAAATGGGTAGCTTTATCATTTCATAAGAAAAAAATTAGAGAAAATATATTAATTCAGGAAAACTTGGCTTATTAGGCAAATCGGGCCTTGCATAATAGGCTGAGAAGTGCGTTCTGGCTACTAGGTACGACATATATATATATATATATATATATATATATATATATATATATATATATATATATATATATATATATATATATATATATGCGTGTGTGTATATATATATGTATGTGTATAAAGTATATATGGAAGCTGATCAAAATTACATTTTACCTTTGTAAATGCACATGAATGACACTATGTAAAAGACACATCGAACACTTTACGTAGAGCAGACGTAAATCTGTATGTCTATGTACATACGTATGAAGGTTAGCTTAGCATTTTAAAAGCACTACAATCACCTTCTGTAGTTGATTGTTAAATAAATCCCTGAACTATATGTTTAACAGATCTCTCCCCCTGTCCATGGAGTATAATAAAATGTAAATATGCTGGTTAGAATTGTAAATGTGTGGCCACGTCTGTGGTAGAAAAAAAAACCTTCGTAATACACCCCTGTTATACAGTACCTGTGTATTCATTTACCGCTATACACCGGTCCTTACCCGTATTTATACTGATTCCTGCGAAAGAAAAAGAAAATACAACCTTTAAATAAAGAGTTTCCCAAAAAGCGCATACATTCTTCATTCCAATGTGTATTTCCGTCAAATGGCACATCTATACAGAAAAATATTCAGTCAGTTTAAAAAAAAAATGTATATTTATACGGAATATATATTTGATATACATATATAACGACCCATTGCATTTTCAAAACCAAACAGCTGACATTAAAAACGCTTCACATAACAGAGAAAAACCTGTTTTACTTTTAAAAAATACTAATTTTTAAATTTGATATTTGCACATGAATAAAATTTATCCCATTTTTTTTTATACAAAGCATTCAAGCGCGTTTATCATAGATGAACATTCGTTATCCTACGACTGAATAAAGTCAAGTACATGTGTATTATTCATTAAGAGATGCTGGCAGTGTTCACACGAATAGGAATGGTGCAAATTGACGCTATGCCTTTGTTTGAAATTAATTATTTCGGGCTAAAAGAATTATACACTTGAAATATTTATTCATTTACGCTTACTTTTCTAATTAGCACAAACTCGCACATTGCTCTTTGAGTGCGTTTAAATGCTCACTTGTCTCTTCTAATACTCACCAGTTCACTTTTAATCGACACACTCAGATACTCACCTACACATTCAATCTGTCACTCACCGTGATACATACACTCATACTGATACATTTAAACGTTCACAGACACATTCTGACTGCCTCCAGAAGGGACAAGATGTAAACATACCGAAGCTTCCGGGATGCTGTGACGTCCCTGATGGACCAGGGAGCATGGATGGATGCTGTGACGCCCTGATGAACCAGGGAGCATGGATGGATGCTGTGACGCCCTGATGAACCAGGGAGCATGGATGGATGCTGTGACGCCCTGATGAACCAGGGAGCATGGATGGATGCTGTGACGCCCTGATGGACCATGCAGGGAGCATGGAGGGAGATGAACGAGCCATGGCAACAGTCAGGTGGAAATGGCATTGACCAGGAATTGACAACTTAACTAAGTGAGTAGATTGATGATTCTACCACACTCCAACATTACCTTAAACATCCTCACTCACACACACACACACTCACATATTCTCACACTCACACACCCCGCAGACTCACATATTCTCACACTCACACACCCCGCAGACTCGCATATTCTCACACTCACACACACACTCACATATTCTCACACTCACACACCCCGCAGACTCACATATTCTCACACTCACACACAGACTCACATCTCACACTCACACACCCCGCAGACTCACATCTTCTCACACTCACACACAGACTCACATCTCACACTCACACACCCCGCAGACTCACATATTCTCACACTCACACTCAACCTCACACTCAACCCTCACCAACCTCCAAGATGGTACACTTAGTACCAGGTGAGTACTGGTGAGTACTTACCCATAATGCTGTGATGACGTCAGTCTGAAGGAACAAAGAAATAACACAATTATTATTTATTCCTCCTCAATATAGTTAATGAATTATATTAACGATAATTAAATTATATCACCTCAGATTAATTACACATGTATAATTTCCTAAAGGGAATTAATGATCTAAGGGGAGCTAAGGGGTGAGGGGAAGGGGGCTCTAAAGGGAGCTAACTGAGTATCTAAAGAGCGCTCAGAGCAGAGAAGACCTAAGGGGAGGTACCAAAGGCAAGGTACCTAAGGGGAGGGTACCAGAAGCAAGGTACCTAAGGGGTAATATAGAAAGGTCAGCAACAATAACAACTTTAAATAGAAAGTTTTGGGGGGTTCTAATGGGCTTTTGAACTTCCCAGACACGGATGCATAAGAGAGATGGGGGAACCTCAGTAACAGGCCAGGGTACCCATGACGATTAACGACCATTAACGAACAGAGAGCTGACGATACCATTATTCCAACGGCTCGTGTTTACCCCTGAGACCATTGATTGCAAACAAACCTCAAAGGGGGGCCAGAAGGCCATTTTTGACCATTATTAACCCTTACTCTCCACAACTGGGGGATGTTGACTAATGGTTACTAATAGAAGCCATTACTAGCGCCATGCTGACCATTATTGACCATCCTCTTACACCCTCCTCTCAGCTCCCACACCCTCCTCTCAGCTCCTACACCCTCCTCTCAGCTCCCACACCCTCCTTTCAGCTCCTACACCCTCCTCTCAGTTCTTACACCCTCCTCTCAGCTCTTACACCCTCCTCTCAGCTCCTACACCCTCCTTTCAGCTCCCACACCCTCCTCTCAGCTCTTACACCCTCCTCTCAGCTCCTACACCCTCCTCTCAGCTCCTACACCCTCCTCTCAGCTCCTACACCTTCCTCTCAGCTCCTACATCCCCTCTCTCAGCTCCTACACCCTCCTCTCAGCTCCTACACCCTCCTCTCAGCTCTTACACCCCCTCTCTCAGCTCCTACACCCTCCTCTCAGCTCCTACACCCTCCTCTCAGCTCCTACACCCTCCTCTCAGCTCCCACACCCTCCTCTCAGCTCCTACACCCTCCTCTCAGCTCCTACACCCTCCTCTCAGCTCCTACACCCTCCTCTCAGCTCCCACACCCTTCTCTCAGCTCCTACACCCTGCTCTCAGCTCCCACACCCTCCTCTCAGCTCTTACACACCCTCCTCTCAGCTCCCACACCCTCCTCTCAGCTCCCACACCCTTCTCTCAGCTCCTACACCCTTCTCTCAGCTCCTACACCCTCCTCTCAGCTCCCACACCCTTCTCTCAGCTCCTACACCCTTCTCTCAGCTCCTACACCCTTCTCTCAGCTCCTATTCCCTTCTCTCAGCTCCTACACTCTCCTCTCAGCTCCCACACCCTCCTCTCAGCTCTTACACCCTCCTCTCAGCTCTTACACCCTCCTCTCAGCTTTTACACTCCTCTCTCAGCTCCTACACCCTCCTCTCAGTTCTTACACCCTCCTCTCAGCTCTTACACCCTCCTCTCAGCTTCCACACCCTCCTCTCAGCTCCTACACCCTCCTCTCAGCTCTTACACCCTCCTCTCAGCTCCTACACCCTCCTCTCAGCTCTTACACCCTCCTCTCAGCTCCTACACCCTCCTCTCAGCTCTTACACCCTCTTCCCAGCTCCTACACCCTCCTCTCAGCTCTTACACCCTCCTCTCAGCTCCTACACCCTCCTCTCAGCTCTTACACCCTCCTCTCAGCTCAACCCCCTTCCTGCCCCCCCCCCACCACAATCACACTCCCAAAAAACAATGGCACCACCCAACTGCCTGACTAGCCTGACCAATGGTGCCATAAACGATGCCTGAATTCCACTCAAATCTGGCCCATTTTGGCCAGTCCAATTTCGGCGCGTCCGGTTACCAACGAGGGGATTATGCGGCGTTTTATTGCGTGTGGACGGTCGCTGGACGGTCGTTGGACGGTCGCTGGACGGTCGCTGGACGGTCCTGGACGGTCGCTGGACGGTCCTGGTCGGTTGCTGGACGGTCGCTGGTCGGTTGCTGGACGGTCGCTGGACGGTCCTGGTCGGTTGCTGGACGGTCGCTGGACGGTCGCTGGACGGTCCTGGTCGGTTGCTGGACGGTCCTGGACGGTCGCTGGACGGTCCTGGTCGGTCGCTGGACGGTCCTGGACGGTCGCTGGACGGTCCTGGACGGTCCTGGTCGATCGCTGGACGGTCCTGGACGGTCGCTGGACGGTCGCTGGACGGTCGCTGGACGGTCGCTGGACGGTCGCTGGACGGTCGCTGGACGGTCGCTGGACGGTCGCTGGACGGTCGCTGGACGGTCGCTGGACGGTCCTGGTCGGTCGCTGGACGGTCCTGGTCGGTCGCTGGACGGTCCTGGACGGTCGCTGGACGGTCGCTGGACGGTCGCTGGACGGTCGCTGGACGGTCCTGGTCGGTTTAGGTTGGTTTATCATGGTCCGTACAGGGTTTGTTGGTATATTGGGGCGGGGGGGGGAGGGGGGTAGAGTGTCATCATTTGGCATAAACTATTCATGTAAAATTGGGTATTTATTGGTGGTCGAAGGAGAGGAGGAATGAGAGGAGGGAGGGGAGGGAGAGAGAGAGAGGGGGGGGGGAGAGAGAGAGAGAGAGAGAGGGGGGGGGAGAGAGAGTTTTTACATGTATTTTTTTTGTGTTAAAATTGAACAATTTTAATTCGTCTTATTTTTTGTTATCAGGAGTAGGTGGAAAAGGAGAGTTAACAGGAGGATGAAGCAGAGGAAAAGAAGAAGGAGGCGGAGAAAGAAGAGTAAGAAGAGAAGAAGGAGGAGAAAGAGGAGGGGGGGGGGGAGAACATTAACAATAAGAACAGGGAGCAGTACAAAGTGTACCAATCTCCACCTACACTAAGCTCTACACAAACACCTCGCTACACCTTATCAACACTCCCAAGTCTCTAGTTAACATTTCCACCAGCAAAACCGTCTTCAATATCAAGTATCATAACATTTACGAGAACATTTTTGGGGAAACTGACGGTGGGATCGAACCTTCGAATCCTGCCAGCCCATTCTCTCTACTTTTCTCAACGTCAAGAAACTGTCCGTCCTGGGTCACTCCAGACGCCCGCTCCAGACGTCACTCCAGTACCCAAATGGACCCATTTGGGTACTATCAGCGTCTGGGGGAGACGCAGGACGAGAGTTCGAACCCACTGCCCTGCTCCAAAAATATATCACATCACTGTGATTTCACTTTGCATAAATATTTATGTTCACTTCAAATGGAACAATGTAATGCTCACTATGACGAGGTATGTTGAACTCTCATTTGGAGCGAGGCTCTTTGCCTTGCAAAATTATCCTCAATTAGGCAAATTGATGACTTCTTCAGCTGACGACTGAATGTTTTAATTAACTTTTCAGCCATTAAAAATACCGGCGATGAAGTTATACTATTTTTATTTCGTTACACAGTTGTGTAATTGTGTGTGAGTCGCCCAGATATACCGCTGATATAATCGCTTTATCACAACGGAATTTAATATACAGGGAGTCATAGGCTAGTTTACGTAATTTTTAACAATTTGCTATATGGAAATTTCCAGAACATTCCTCCGAATTTGTTCATATCATTTGACTATAAGACGTCGGACGCTGGTGCAGAAAACCTCAACATTTACCACAAGACAAACTGGTGCTTGATAACACTATACTACGATTAAGGCAGCATCTGGGATGCTTCCGGACGTAGGTTCGAATCCTTGTCACGGCCCTTGGAGATTTGTTCATCTGGTGCTTGATGATTCAATCCGGGAATTAGATCATCAAGCGATAGCTGCTTCCTGGGGATGTGTGCCTACTCACCTATTTGTACCTGCAGGATCGAGCATTGACTCTTGGATCCCGCCTTTCGAGCCATCGGTTGTTTACAGCAATGACTATGGTCCTATTTCCCTATCATACCTAGTTTTAAAATTATCAATAGAATTTGCTTCCACAACCTGCTCCTTAAGTGCATTCCATTTTCCACTACTCTCACGCTAAAAGAAAACTTCCTAACATCTCTGTGACTCATCTGAGTTTCCAGCTTCCACCCATGTCCCCTCGTTCTGTTACTGTTCCGTGTGAACATTTCGTCTATGTCCACTCTGTCAATCCCCCTAAGTATTTTATACGGTGGATTGTAAACTGATCACATGAAGGCTCTGGCACACAGTTGGCTACAGACTCATCATGTTTCTTATATGATTCTTATAGGCTATTCTTACTGATGCATACAACAGGTTCATGAAATAAATGGGTCTTTAGGAGTAGGTTTCAACTTAGCTGAGGAAGGATTACAGCTCTTGCTTGCAGTTTCACCAGGTACGTCATTTGACAGCCCTTATGAACCCTTGTCTTAGCTTAAAAAAAAGACAGACAGACAGACAGACAGACAGACAGACAGACAGACAGACAGACAGACAGACAGACAGACAGACAGACAGACAGACAGTCAAAAACAGACAGACAAACAGTCAGAGACAGACAGACAGACAGACAGACAGACAGACAGACAGACAGACAGACAGACAGACAGACAGACAGACAGACAGACAGTCAAAAACAGACAGACAGACAGTCAGAGACAGACAGACAGACAGACAGACAGACAGACAGACAGACAGACAGACAGACAGACAGACAGACAGACAGACAGACAGACCAAAAAAAGACATGTAGAGAGACAAACAGTTAAACACAATAACATAAATCAAGAGATAATACACAGATACTGACAGATACTGACAGATACTCACCCGAGACATCCAATCAAAATGAGGAGAGTTATGATCGCGTTGACGTCACCAGTCCAGGACATCTCCCTCCCCACCTGTTGAGAGAGTGAGAGACAGTCAGATACGGAGAAGGCAGGACACACAGGGAGATGGACACTGGGAGACAGGGAGACAGAGAGAGACAGTGGGCTGACATTCATACTGAGACTGATGGTGAAACACGTGTATATGTTAACAGCCCATCTCTCTCTCTCTCTCTCTCTCTCTCTCTCTCTCTCTCTCTCTCTCTCTCTCTCTCTCTCTCTCTCTCTCTCTCTCTCTCTCTCTCTCTCTCTCTCTCTCTCTCTCTCTCTCTCTCTCTCTCTCTCTCTCTCTCTCTCTCTTTCTTCCTCTAGCTCTTTCTCTCTAACTCATACATGCACAATCATACATTCGTGCGCGCGCACACACACAAAAAAAGCCACAAGGCCGTGAGGTTCTGTGGGCAGTTTCTTTCGCCTGATGCACCTGTTCATCTAGCTGTAAATAGATAAACAAATCCACAGAAGCCGTGATGAGGGTTCGAACCTATGTGTTAGGTGTTCCCAGATGCACGCTCTGGGAACCAACCCCTAAGCTGCTAAGGAATCCTAAGGAGATTTACACCACTGTGCACACAAAAAAATTCTAACAATTTTTTTTCGTCTTCTGAAAATGTTAATTTGTGTTCCCTGAGCACGAGGAAAAATAAAAAAAAAAATCGTAGGTGACATATTTTGGGCGCAATAGGCCGAGGAAGTCTGGCAAAATGTGGGTGTTGACAGAGCGGTTGTCAGCGGTTGTCAGCGGCGGTCAGCGTCACCCGGGCTGTCAGGCGGGAGTTGCCACAAAGATATTATTACCTAATTATTTCAAAGTCTCTGATTGATTTTTTCTTAGTTTTTTGCAGTAATATTATCCAATAGTGTGTAGTGTGATAGATTTATATAACAAAATGTGTGAATCATCGCTATGCTCAAAATTATGGTGTTCATATTAGTGATTAAATTATTACGTTCATAAAACAATAAACAAATAGTTTTACTGTTATTACACTATATACACACACATTATATATATAAGTATCTACATGTTTTGTTCACCACAACTGTACAACTAAGGTGATATAGTTAGTTCAGGCACTAAGAGACATCGCTACACACAGTCAACTGGTGGCTGCCTCACTCACTTATTCAAGGTCAGACGCACTAAAATTTCTCCTCCAACAATACTGTTTGTAGTGTTATTACACTATATACACACATTATATATAAGTATCTACATATTGTATTCACCGTAACTGTACACCTAAACTTGTAGGGTGCCCAAAGGGCATAGTGGCCACCCTCTACAAAGTCATGCAGACGACGCCACCTCCGTCACCCAAATGGCTCCTCCCAACATAATCCTTTTGCTGTTATTACACTAATACACACGTTATATATAAGTATCTGCATTTGTGTTCACCATAGAGAACCACTGAGCTGGTATGGTGAATGCAGACAATAACATGGGAAGAAGAGAATTTGCTTCAAGGTAATGTACTCGAACATAGATGGGATTACAAGAAAGGCAAGTGAACTTAGGGAAAGAGCACAAGAAGGGAACCCGGATGTAACTGGACTCGCAGAAACAAAACTCTCAGGACCACACTGTAATAAGGAGAGAGAGGGAAGGAAGGGGAGAAGGTGGAGTGGCCCTACTGATAAGAAAGGAATGGAGTTTCGAGATGGTTATCCCATGCTGTGAGAGATTCAGAGACTACATAACAGGTACCATAACGATATAGGAGGTCCAAGAGTAGTGGTAGCAGTGACATATAACCCTCCACCAAACAACAGAAGACCCAGACAAGAGTATGACAGAAACAACATGGGCAGTCAACACCATAATTGAGAGAGTAGCCACTGCTGCCTGTAGAAATAGATCCCATCTGCTCATCATAGAAGACTTCAATCACGGAAGGATTGACTCAGAAAACAAGAAACCGCATTGAGGTGAGGAAACATGGAGAGCTAAACTGCTGGAAGTGGCGACAAGAAACTTTTTAAGTAAACATGTCAGAGGATTCACAAGAATGAGAGACAATGATGAACCAGCGAGACTCGACCTAGTCTTCACTCTAAATGACTCCGACATAAGGGAAAACGGTTTCGAAGCCCTCATGGGAATGAGTGATCATAGTGTACTGATGTTTGAGTATTTGGTCGAAGAAGGGTTAATGTACTCAAGGAAGGGCCCAGAAAACAAAAGGCTGGCATTCCAAAAGGGAAACTATGAGGAAATAAAAAAAAATCCTAACAGATATAACTTGTGAAACAACTCGGAGGAAAGACAGCCCAAGACATGACGGACTTCATCACACAAAAGTATAAGGAGGCAACAGACAAGTTCGTCCCAGTTCACAAGGAAAAAATTAAGTGCAGATGAGAAACCCATGGTCTAATCAGAGATGTAAGCTAGCAAAGCAATTAAGTAAAAGGGCGTGGAGAAACTAGAAATAATAGGACACTAGCGAGCAGAGAAAGATACTAGAGTGCCAGGAGAGAATACGTCAGGGTGAAAAGAAAGGCAGAAAGGGAATATGAAAACGACACAGCAAGCAAGGCAAAGACTCAACCAAAACTGCTGCAAAACCACATCAGGAGGAAAACAACAGTGAACGAACAAGTAATGAAACTGAGGATAGAGGCAAACAGATTCACTACAAACGACAAGGAAGTGTGTGAGGAGCTGAAAAGAAATTCCAGTAGGTCTTCACATTAGAGCAAGGAGAATATCCAGGGATAAGAGAGGGAATATATAACCAGGTACTGCTAGAGGAGTTTGGGATTACCAGTGGGAAGGTGAGGAAGCTTTTGCTAAAGTTGGATGTGACAAAGGCTATAGGCCCAGATGAAAGGAAGGATACTAGAGGAAGAAGCAGTAGCACTGTGCCTGCCTCTCTCCATAGTGTATATCAAATCATTGGTAACAGGGAAGCTGCCAAAACTTTGGAAGAGTGCTAATGTAGTCCCGATATACAAGAAGGGGGACAGGCAGGAGACACTAAACTACTACAGGCCAGTGTCCCTAACTTGCATACCATGCAAATTGATGGAAAAGATTGTGCGAAAAAGCTAGTGGGACATCTGGAGCAAAAGAACTTTGAGACACAACATCAACATGAGGTCATGGATGGCAAGTCATGCCTCACAGGATTAATTGAATTCTACGACCAGGCAAGAGAGGAGGGCAGATTGCATATTTTTGGACTGCAAGAAAGCCTTTGATACAGTACCACACCAGAGACTAGTGCACAAGCTGGAGATGAAGGCAGGAGTGAGAGGGAAGGTACTTCATTGGATAAGGAAGTACCAAAGCAACAAAAGACAACGAGTCACTGTGAGGGATGAGGTCTCAGATTGGCGAAGTGTCACCAGTGGAGTCCCACAGGGTTCAGTCCTTGGACATATACTGCTCCTGATATATGTGAATGATCTCCCAGAGGGAATAGACTTGTTCTTCTCAATGTTTGCTGATGCAAAAATTATGAGGAGGATTAAGTCAGAGGATCCTCTAGGTATGAGGCTACAAGATGACCTAAACAAACTGAATGAATGGTCCAACAAATGGCTATTATAGTTCAAACCGAGCAAAAGTAGGGTAATGAAACATGGCAGTGGAAACAGGAGGCCCGACACAGGATATCGGATGGGAGATGAAGTCCTCCATGAAACGGACAGAGAGAAAGATCTAGGAGTTGATATCACACCAAACCTGTCTCCTGAAGCCCACATAAAAAGAATAACATCTACGGCGTATGCGAGGCTGACTAACATCAGAACTGCCTTCAGGAACCTGTATAAGGAGTCATTAAGAACCTTGTATACCACATATGTAAGACTAATCCGGGAGTATGCGGCCCCAGTATGTAGCCCGTACTTTGTCAAGCACAAGACGAAGTTGGAAAAAGTTCAGAAGTATGCCACTAGGCTAACCTCAGAACTAAGAGGCACGAGTTACGAGGAAAGGCTGCGTGAAATGCACCTCACGACACTGGAAGACAGAAGAGTAAAGGGAGACATGATCACTACTTACAAAATTCTCAGAGGAATTGACAGGGTAGATAAAGATAAACTGTTTAACACGGGTGGTATGGGAACAAGGGGACACAGGTGGAGACTGAGTACCCAAATGAGCCACAAGGACGTTAGAAATAACTTTTTCAGTGTCAGAGTAGTTAACAGATGGAATGCATGTGGTGGAGGCTGAGTCCATACACAGTTTCAAATGTAGATATGATAGAGCCCAGTAGGCTCAGGAATCTGTACACCAGTTGATTGACAGTTGAGAGGCGGGACCAAAGAGCCAAAGCTCAACCCCCGCAAGCACAAGTAAGTGAGTACACACACACACACACACACACACACACACACACACACACACACACACACACACACACACACACACACACACACACACACGTGAACAAATAAGCAAAAATCCCAAACTATGAGATTTCTTTCATCTCTGACAAAAATAATCTTCATCCGTTCCATGATTAGTTTGAGGAGAGGAGAGAGAGAGGGGAGGAGAGGTGCGGGGAGGGGGGTGGCACGTGGGGGTGAAGAGGAATGGAGAAGGAGAGAAGGAAGGATTGAATGAGATAAAGGCAGGAGATACATGCGATTAGTGTACGTAGCAGCCAATTGACATGGGCATGGACATGGACATAGACATGGACATAGACATGGGCATGGACATGGGCATGGACATGGGCATGGACATGGACAAGGACATGGGCATGGGCATGGGCACAGCCATACGTGCGGGTGTGGACATAGGGACGGGGAAGCAAAATACGAAATAATACACCATAACACCGGCATACAACGCTATACAATTCAAAATACATTAATTATACAATAAACATTTTACATAACAAATATTGTGAACATTTTACTCATTGTGCACGTCGGGACACCTTCGCTCATCAACACCTTGTGTGTACTTCAGAAAACATTTACTCAACACTTTGTGTAACTCAGGAACCATTTACTCAACACCTTGTGTAGCTCAGGAAACATTTACTTAA